GATCCGCCAGCGCTGACTGGCCGAACGGACGGGGGAGGGGGCGGGTACAGCTGGCTCTGCCTCTAGATAGGCAGAGCCAGCTGTCAGTCACGCAGCTGGGCGGATCCCGGCACAATTGTCGGGATCCGCTTCAGCTGCGGCATCTCGGTATACAATGAGCTGTAGCTCCCTATATACTGAGCCTAGGGTGACGGGAGGACGCTAGTTTGTGTCCTCCCGTTACCCTAAGGAGAACTATGGGGAAAAGACTTGACCCCATAGTTCTCCTTTTAAGGTGCCCATACACCTGTCGATTTACGAAGGAAAATCCGTTCTGTCGATCGATAGAAACTCGAGTTAGTATTGCTAACAAACGATTATGGAAATCGACATTTGTCTCTGCCTGATGGGGTATTCGAGCGTAAATGGAACGAGGGTTCAATGACGGCACGAAGGAAATCGACAATCACCGCAGAGTGTATGGCCAGCTTTATACTGGCAGATGTTGAAATTGTACACTGAGCTACAAATGTGCAGTTAATTATTCGCTGTCACGAGGATTGTGAACGGGCAGGTCAGAAACCTTTATTGCAGAAGAAGCCTAAACAGGAGCAGCTGTGCACAGGAACCAATCAGCTTCCGTCTTCAATTTGTTCAGTAAGGCTTTGAAAATGGAAGCTGATTGGTTTCCATGTACAGATTCTCCAGATTATGTCTGCTGCAGTCTTTATAAATTCCTCCTTCTAGTATTTCTCTTCTGCAATAAAAAGCTTTCCTGGTCAACTCTTCATTCACACTACCGCGCGTATTGTACCATATGCAAATAAATGGCTCCATACACATAGCTGCGTACGGGGACATATATTTGCGTAGCGTAAACATGTGCAAAAAAAATGGAACCGAGATGCGTCCGGGCTGCGTATTTCTGCGTATTTTACGCACGTTCGCTCATACAGTTCGTTAAAATTTCTATTACGAATGATGCATTCTGGGATTGCATATAGTGCAGGCATTTACGCACATGTACGTTCTCCTTTTAACAGTCGGGGCACAATAAGTTGTGTCAAGGAAAAAATATCACAGTGCAATTTTTAGTGAGAAGGAGTTTAGGAGGGAAGGGCGGAAGGCGGGAGCAATGTATTATTTTAGCTTAGGAAACCTCGTCTCCTGACTACTTTTATTTTTTCTATTTTCCCTCCCAGATGAAACTTCTAAATTTGTACATAAAAAGAGCGCAGACGACGAACAGCAACAGCAGCTCCTCATCGGATGTTTCCACGCACAGTTAGGGAGCAGATCGCATCCTCGGGCGACTTTTAGAGATCGGCAGCAGAGCGCACGCCGGCACCTTCCACACAGAGGGGACGTGTCCAGTGGCGGGCCATTCAATATTATTAACACTAATACAAACGACAACTTCATCTTTGGAGGAGCCGACGAGGTTTTACAGAGCTCCAGAGCTGAAGGGGTTTCATTAGTCAAGATAATGGTGTATCTCTTGTCCATTTGCTAGGATTTCCTAAAAACAAAAATAAATAAACTGCCCCTCCTCCAGAGCTGCGGGGTGAAGAAGCGAACAGCAGTGCCTCATGCCTTTCTGCAACCGCACCTCCCAATATTTGTTGCAATCAGTATTTTATTTAAAATGTATGTGAATTTTTTTTTGGGAATTGAATGTAGAGGGAAATTGTGACTCAGTGGTAAGACAAAATTATCCTACATGAAAGCCAGACATTTAGCATTTGAAATATGTTGGCTTTAGAATTTGCAGGCGGCCTAAAGTTTGCACTCTAAAAAAATCTATTTTTTTTCCTTTTCCCTGTTTTGCTGTTTTTATGTTGTAAATATTCAGCAAACTAATTTTACAGCTGCTGGTAATATCCCGCTTAAGAGGGACCCGGCTACGCAGTGTTTAGCTACATACATTAAAACTGTTTCACATTCAGCGAGTGGACAAGATGTTGTTATTTAAATATCAGATTTATTGGGTTTTGTTTTCCTCTCTCTCTCCCATTTCCAACCATGCTGTCGCCCGCACCC